CTGGCGTATTCATGCTCAATTCACTTTAACTTTGGGGGATATTCTTTTTCCTCACTCATCTTTCAGAAGAAGGATCCAAAACAGCCAAAGGGAAAAAGCCAAATGCACACAACTAGAATTCATCGTTCGATGCGGGCTAAAGTGAGATCCGGTAGGCTGCGTGGATGACTCACGTGATGCGCAGGCATCATACAGTATAAACCCAACCATGCGTTCATAATATACCATCACAAATATGTCAGCTGACATTCCCAAAAAAAACCCACAGAATTTCCCCAGTGAAAGTACCTGTAAAATGGCCAGATTTCGTCACAATGACGCACAAACTAAGAGTCACGAGGAGAAAACAGGCAAGGTCAATGAAGGCTGGTAATATGCAGTCTTTCAAGCAAAGCAAATTGCCAGAACTTTGTGCGACTTGATTGTTGTGAAAAGAATAGCGGCATTAAAAGCAATCTGACTCATTATCCAGGGCGCCTGCATCACGTTGATACGAGCTTCTCCAATCAGCAGTTGCTGATGTGGGAGCCCGACAGCACCAGCGAGTGGAAAGGGGGGGGGGGGGCAAGGTCAATCAAAATTTCAATTTTCTAGTTCACGCCAATATGGCAAAGTATGAAAACAAAAAAACAAGATAATTTGCAAATTACAAATCAATTCCAACAAAGGTCGCACTGAATGTGGTGCATGAGGTTAGCAGCACCGCGTCTGCTGTTAGCGCTCGAAGCTCAGCTTGGACCATTTTGTGTGGAGTTTGCATGTCCGCATCTCCCTCTGTTTGTCCGTTTTTTTTGTTTTGTTTTGTTTTGTTTTTTGTTTGCCAATTTTCCACATTGAGCCCTGCAGTTGTCTGGCGACCAATTTGAGGTGAATCCTGCCCTTGGCCCATAGTCTAATTCAGTGGTCCCATTGCTTTTAAATTGCCGGTTTTAAAGCACTGGTTGTGACCACAAAGATAATGACAGAGTAATTAAACATTTCATCAATATAGATTTGTTTTCATTCATTTCAAAGAGTGCAATTCTACTGTACAACAAATACAGACGAAAAAAAAATAAAATAACACAGAACTACTAAATGGACCAATCGGGAGTAATAATTACGCCTTATAAGAGAAACATCATAATTTTAAGGCTATGATCTTACATACGGCGTTCGCATCATTGTAACTTGCGAATGTGACTGCTTTCATCCGGTGGTTGCCGGCTAGTTATCAACGACTGAACTGCTCATGTTTACGTGTGCAGACCGTGCAAACTGCTCACCTTTTTTCGTGCTTTTCACTTGATCACTTGGGTGCCACTTGCTCAAACAGTTCAACAGTTTTCTTTCGTTGTCTTGTTTTTGACGACATCCCGTGCGCAACAGCTTCGGGGAGGAACTTCTCTTGTCAAAATTGTTTCATCTTCGAAAATCATGGCTGCCCATCACCTGCGCGTCGAGCTGTACGTGTGTTCAATGTGCTACTATTTCCATTTACTGCCTCTTCTCTCGATTATTGGCGGATTTTTTTTTTATTTCAACTTGCAAAACGACGTGACAAGGGGGACTCCGATTGGCCCGAGTCGCGCAAATTGGGGACTCCCGATTGGCTCGAGTGGCGCACGTCCGCCGCGTCTGATGGAGTCAATTTGCTCACAGCTCGCAGGTGTGTCTCTGTGCGACCCGGTACCAAATGGGCGTGGGCCCGGTACCGGTGCTTGGGGACCTCTGGTCTCATTGACGTTGCCGTTCCAGTACTTTTGGAGGGGATGGTATCACCCAGATCTGTACAGTACTGTACTGTAGTATGGTAGCAGATGCAAAAAATATAAATAAAACTCCGCACTTCATTTTGAATCACCTCATTCTCAATTGTTTTTCTTTTGGGGGGGGGGGTGGATAACAGCCCTGAATGCATATAATGAGCGAAAACAACCTTGCTCGAGGGAGAGAACGCCAACATGGTCCTCCTCTATCCTGTTGCGTGCATTCCTCACCTGGTATGCGTCACCCAGGGGGGAGGTGACAGAGGTCATGAGAGCTGCCTGCACAGTGGACCTGTTTTGAAAGCAAGGCACCACAAGGAAAACGAGGACGACCAACACCACTAACATCATAATCAGCACATCTTTAGCTGCAGGACTCCCATTTCGTGTCGCCATAGAGACAATATTGCGCAATGTTGGGGTCAGTGCTGTGGCCTTCAAACTGGTGGTCAAATTTAGAGCAAAAGAAAATATTGCCATTTCAAATGTCTTGAGAAGGGTTTGACTGGGGCCAGACGCAAAAAAAAAAGGGCAGGTTAACCTTTAGTGTCTGGATTGGTTGTGAGTCATGCATTGGCAGGGGTGGTGGTGGCGGGGTGGGGGTTATGGTTAGACGGCCACCACGCTTCTGTGACAGTGCCCATCATGCATGATCATTCAGCACTCTGAGGCGGATGGTGCGCATCCGATTCCGTATTTAGTCAACATGTCACATCTCCTCCGCACGTGTGCCTCAGCTGCATCTCACTCATGTGGGCCTCGCGTGAGAACATGAATTTGACCCAGTAAATGCGGTCTCAATATTGCATGTCCGTGTGTGCAGCAGTGCAACAGGAATGCAGGGTACAAGAGCTTGAATGTGCAAGCGTAGCGGTCGATAGACCTCACACACACACACACACACACACACACGCTCCTCGGGCTTTTGGGCCAGACGAGCCTCGATCACAAGGAACACCTCATTTCAGTTCTCCGTGTCACATCAGACGGCAGCTAGTGGCACGCAGGGTACCGAGGAATTAAGAAACGTGAAGCGGTAGTTTCCCTGGAGGAGGCTCTTCTTCATACACACACAGACGCACAAATACACACATCTCCCTGCACTAAAAGATGATCAAATGTGGCACGTCTGCGCCAGATTTTTCAAATGGCTATTTCAGTTGTGCGCCCGGGGCCTAATCAACCAGGCGCATGACAACAGGACCCCTGCGACGGCGTCTTCACTGAGAACAAAGCGTAGCCGATTTTGATTTGTGGCTGCCAATTGTCTTATCCGCTAAACAGCCCCGGTCAAAGTTTAGCTCTCAGTAGATTTGAGAATCCTTTAAACGCAAGTGTAACTTGTGTTTATGATGTCCTCTGATCCCGGAACAGCAGCGTGTGGATTCAATGAAAGTGCTTCAGTTCAACCAAAAAGAAGGAAACGAGGAAAGACTCTCATTAGGCGAGGGAAGGGATGAAGTCGTCTTTCATGCGTCATTCTCAAACGGTAGCCGCGGAAACATCAAAGAGACCCCCTTCTCAACAGCTCGAGGGACCAAAATCGAAGAAAGCAAGACACTCTAAGGATTATACTCCTTCAGTCGCATGTGGCCACACTCTCCCATCGGTGAGAGACTGCTGCGTGCGTGTGTGTGTGTGTGTGTGTGTGTGTGTGTGTGTGTGTGTGTGTGTGCGTGTCCATGCCAGAGGACAGCTGCAGGGCAAACGACAAGTTGATGAGCAACAACAAAAGTATACTAAACTAAATTGATTAAAAGTATATGCGTAAATATACGACAGCTATGCAAGAGACGTCGATATTTTTCGATATATAGAGAGACTGCATCTTGCTATTTATAAGATCATTGGTTTTACGTCAAACATGGGAGCTATTGAGTTCTTGGGACAGGAGATGCTGAAGGAGGGCTCTCCTTTTTAGACAGAACTAGACCCAAAAAGAGGGCGGTGCCTGTGTGGCTTTTCTGCAGGTATTCCTCCTTCCTCCCACATTCTAAACACATGCACGGTAGGTGAATTCAACACTCTAAATTGTCATTCGGTGTGATTGTGAGTGTGAACGGTTGTTTGGCCAGCTGGGATAGGGTTCACCACGCCCGTGACCCTCGTGAGGATAAGCGGATCAGATAATGGATGGCTAGACCCCAGAAACAACTGGCCAAAAATAGCGTACACGTGACCCCCCCCGCCCCTCAGCAAATAAACGAATGAATCAATAAAATCACACTCAGACGAAAAGCACACGGAAAATATTTAGTTCATAACCTCGGATAAATCCAGGGTGCTGAGGGAAAGAGGATTTCAGTCTGCCTTGAGAGATAATCTTTGGACTAGGCTGGCCAAGAGAAACCTCGGAATTCTGTTCACAAATTGAAGAGACAAAAGAGCATGAGGCATGCTTATCTCAGACAGACGACTGCAATCCAACCCAGTCTGATGAATAATGAGCGGCTAACCTAATTTGGCGCATATATATATATATATATATATATATATATATATATATATATATATATATACACACACACACACACACCTATACACACACACAATAATGCTGTATATAGACACGCATCCGTTCATCTATACATCTATATGCACACACGTGATAATTCTGGGAGATTATCTCGAAGTGAATGGAAATAACGGGAGGCCTTTTTTTTCATGCACTTGTAATGATGACTCATCACATTGAAAATGATTTTGTGGCAACGAATCGGTGGCTGAATGTGTTATTTAATCCAACACTGCCCCCTGGCGGAGGAAAAGTAAATGTCTCCTTGTACAGCAGTCCGTATGATATCGTGACTTGCTATTTTGTCATTGCTCATCAAAACTGGTATAATATGAATCAATTGATTGGCAAATAGCACAAGATCCGATTGGCTAATTTTCTTTTCAAAGCTCAAATTCTGACGAAAAAGTGCCTCGGTCAAAGACTGAATTATCATTATTAGTTGTCAGCGTTTATTTTTTTGAGAAGTATTCAATTCTTTGATATTTAGGTTCCTATTTTACACGTCAAATTGTTGTTGATGTTTTATTGTGGATTGCGCATCACATTATTAGAGTGTAAATGAAATTACAAATATATATATTTTTTTAAATCATCATTTCCGAGCTGCGTTTACAATGATACATGGAAACGTGAGATGTCGATTTTAGTTTTTTCCTGGAAAAGTAAAAATCATCGCTGTATTATTTCTTTTCTTCGGTCGGTTCGAGTAAAGCAAAAGACGTCACTCCATCCCACACATTGCATATTCGTCTTTTCATTCCAAACAATTGGGAACATTTTGACTTGGAAGATGGCGCGACGCACAACAAATACAAAAAGGAGAAAACAGTACAGGTGATGGAAACGGTCACATGTTCCAACAGGAACTAAGATCAGTCGGGCTCTTTGACAAAGAGTAAAGCCAGAAGTGCAAACTTGCAGTCTTACGTGGATTTTCCGTGTCAGACAGGACCTGAGAGGGGGAGATTCAGCCCAAAAGTCCCCGAGCTTTGCTTTGATTTCATGCTCATGATGTCCTGTGTAGCAGAGATGGACAACGTATTGCTTTTGTCTCGCTGCGGGACCCGAAGGAAGTCCACCACGGCACAAGTGGGCTTGGGACGCCTGCGTCTTAACGCCCTTTTCTCCGCCCGGGTCTTCGGCAGGGACAGACCTTGGCATATGCGAGAGCAGGCGCTGTTGATTCCACACAGGGAGGGATCGTCCGAATGCGACGATGTCTCCGAGCTGCCCTCGGACGGGGACTCTCTGAAGGCGGGTAGAAGTAGACTCCTTGTCAGGGCGGCCGGGTTTGACGTGACGGGCGCGCTGTTCCATACGGCGGCTCCGTTGCATGCGAGCGGAGGGCCGCGAAAGGATGTCAGAGTCTGCACTTTTTCAGTGGGTTTCATCTTACGGCGTCTTTTCTGAACAGGGTCGGGTTGAGACAAGAACAGGCAGAGGTTAGGTCACATCCGCGCGGCGTATTCTGTGAACCATTTGCAATCTGTGTCATCGGTGAGACGGGGCCGTTTCGAGAACTGATGCCTTTCGCGCGCCTGATTGACTAAGATGATGTTGCTTCGGCCTGGATTACACCGACAGTGTAGTATTTTTTTTTTGTGGTGTAAGCCAAAATTTAAGATTCCGGCAAGCTTCCGATACAACGTCAAGATGATGAGATGAATGAGAAAACGCTCACGCTGAAATAACCGGCCGATGTCACTCACTAGGCCACACCCCTTGAAGTCACAGATCCAACATTTCGTTTACCTTATAAAGCCTGTTTGCTAACTTTGACCGTGTTTCATGCAATTTTGAATGATTTGTCGATTAAACACAAAAATGGGTTACTTCTTAACGGCTGCCGAACATCAATGGCTTTTCAAAACGGATTTGATCAATTTTGAGCTTGGGCAAATTCAATTCGTAAATCAAGGTACCACTGTGAATAGTTTGAAGTTAATCATGATCTTCTCTGCACCTTTCTATTAGCTTGACTCTCCTCAGGATGAAGACTTTCGAGACCTGCGAGCCAGAGAATATGTTATGTTAATTTCTACTGGTAAAAAAAAAAAGGCTTCAAATGTACTTTTCATCGTCAGACAATCAAAAATCCAATTCAAAAGGCAGCTGTACCTTTAGTAGGCACTAACTGAATTGAGTGGATGAGCGGGTAGGATGCGCTCCTCTTCAGACTACAGTCATCACCGGAGGTGAAATTCCTAACAAGAAAATCATCACAGTTGTAAAAGTCCACGACGATTCACTCTGGATTCGAGTTAGGAAGCTTTTAATGACTCATAAAAAAGCAGGGTAAAATAAAATGTTCTTTTTTTTCCAAAAGGCATTTAAAATTGTGAACATTGCTTTTTCAACGTTCTCTATTTTGACCCCCCCCCCCTTATTTATTTATTTATTTTAGGGGTCAAGATGCAGTTGCACTGGTACCTCTCGGGACAGCAGTAGGTGTAGCTGTTTAGTGCGGGGGGCTCCGGCTCAGCATTTGGAGGCGTGATGGAGATGCGGCAGCGGTTGGCCAACAGCACCACGCCGAAACACAGACTCAGCAGCAGGCACAGCAGCAGGTAGTTGTGCCTGTCTGACACCTGGGAGACACGGCCACCCGTGATGTCACAAGCCAAACTCCAGCAGTCTCTCGTCATAAAATGATGCTTTCAAAAATAAATCAATAAAATCAACACTGTTGGTGCAGATATGACAGACCGAGTGTGTTAGAAAGGCGACAGTGTTTAAATGCTTACGCTTCATTCATTGATGGAACTTTTTCTGTCTAATGTTGAGATGTCCTATTTTATTGACAGTTCTTGAACGCACCTCACTGTGAGGCAAACAGTCAAGTTTTGTGAACAGCATCCCCCTTCTTTATCGCAGATTTTTTCGCACTCTCGCTGTTTTTTTTTTTTTTTTTTTTTTTTTAAACGTGGACTCTAGTGCAGACTTTCGCCGATTGCAAGCAGATCCGGAACGGATCCCCCGCGATAAATGCGGGTTCACTGCACCTCTCTCCTGCCACAGCTGCCGAGAGCCAGTTCTGTGGCCTTAACAAGTGCAGTGTGAAAAGGTCTTCAGCTTGTGTAAGGGAAGCTAAAGCTGTGCCTGTACCTACCTCGTTCTTCAGCTGGCTGACTTGAACCGAGAGGTTGAGAACCATTTGAGTCACATTTTCCAGCTGGCCTTGCAGCAAATGAATGGACTCCGTCTGACGCTGGTCCTACATGAGAATTTTGAAAGAGTCAAGTCTGCATCTGACCGCGTGATGCTACAATTAGAATACATCGCGGTACTTCCAAAACACTCTGAGAACAATCCATGAGAAATGTTCCTCACTTGCTCCTCTGCAATTCTGGAGGTGTTTTGGAGTTTAATAATGGTTTTGTTGAAAGCCTTCTGCATTTCCTCCATCTGCTTCCGATATCTTGGAAGGAAAAAAAAAGGGTCAGACAAAAGTAAATTAAAAAAAAAAAGACACCAAAGCAACCTCTGCCTGACCTCTGGCTGAGCTGCTCCAGATAGCGCCCGCTGAGCGACATATTCATCTCAAGGGCCTTGATGCGGTTGTTGAGTCGCATGAAAACCGACTCCTTCTGGCTGGAGCCGTGCACCGGGTTGCCATTCTGCTCGGTGCCATTCGGGGGATCCGCGTAGATGTCTGAGAGGGACGGCGAGGGGGATGTCGAAGGCAGAGGAGGGAGACCGGGGGTAGAGGCATCTTCGGTGAGGTCATCCGTTTTGCTATCGGGAATGATCGGGGCGCTACTAGAGAGCTCGAGTTCAACGGGTGTGTGTGGGGAAGGCTGGGATGTCTCGACAGAAAGAGTGTCGCTGTCAAGGACGGCGGCTGGGTCCGGGGACTGATGTGCACGAGGGGAAGCAGTCTGGGACTCACCTGTCATATCAGGATTTGGCAGAGAGACATGCATCACCGTGCTGGCCTTGAGTTCTGTCGGCGCCACTTTGCCATCATCCGCTGCGGGTGCGATGACCAAGCTACTGGGAGGTAGCGAAGTCTCTGTCTGCTTCTCCACAGCCAGCATGTCTTGGCTCTCCTCTGAGCTTCGTGGCTTTGCCGGAGCCTCAGAGGGAAGCTGCGGGGTCTCGACAACAGTCTGGTTGGCAGCGGATGAATCGGGGGCGGTGGCTTTCGCGAGGTTTGATGTCTGACTGGGCTCCAGGAGAGGAGATTCGGACACAGAGTCGTAATGAGATTCGACGACCGTTTTCTCTGGAGGCTGATGCGCTTGCGACGGGCTGGCTCCGCTTTCTGGCTCCCCCACGGGAGCTTGTCGGTTTTCATGGGGCTGACGTGTCTCGCTGTGATCCCGCTCGGGCTCAGGACAGGCGGAGGAGGGTGAAAGCGGGGGCCAAGCGGGAGTGCGGTTGGAAGGAGCCGTTTGCTTTCTGTCCGCGGGTTGGCATTTCCTTTTTTTGAATAGCAGCACCAAACATTGTTGCTGCAGATACTCCTGAAGGGAGGTGCCGCACGAACAAGAGGCAAACAAAGGAAGAAACGCACAGAAGTCCACATGTTGCGCTTCATTGCGATCCATTTTCTCCCTCTCCCCATCCGACTCTTCCTCTTTCTCCAAAAGGGTGATTGTGGAGCTGATCGATTCTTCTTCCTCTGACTCCAAAGGAATCACAATTTGTTCCTCGGGTGGGGGAGGCTGCTGTTCACTGTGATCATCCGGAAGCTGTTCTGGGACGGCGGTTGTTGAGGGTGAGGCACCAGTTTCAGTGACGACTGCGCCTGGAGACAAGGTTGCCTCTTCCAACTCTGAACTGGAAGGAGCAAAAACAATCAAAGCGGACGAAATGGACAGATTGTTTGCACTACACCTTTCTCTGTGTATTATATATGAGATATTAAGTTAGAAATGAGGCTTCTGACAGGTACTCACACAGAGGTTGAGTCTATGATGGGAGTTTGAGTCAGTGTTTCATTAACACCGGGTCCATTCACACTCACATCGCCGGATGAAAGGTTTCCTGCAAAACATAAATGGGATGCGTTACATTTGATCATGAACACAAATAATCCCAATTTACATCGTGTGCCCGCGTTACCATTTGAGCAGGACAGAGAACGGGTTAGAATTAAATAAATATTGTTCAATCAATAATTCTGATATTGTGCATTTTTCACATTTTTGGTACAACTCCAGCATTAGATCTCATTACAGTGAAAATTAAAATAGCATAGCATTGCTGCTATTAGACAGTTTAAAAAAAAAAAAAAAGTGAGGTTGATGACTGGGACATACCTTGCATTTCTGAGTTACCACCAAGAACGTTTACGGCGATATTATTGACCATGTTCAAAATGACATCTGAGGAGGAGCGCAATAGAGCAGATGAATATCAAGAACAGCCAGAAATCGAGTCGCTCTTTTTCAGTCTTGTCGATGCTTTAAACAACAAAGCAACGACTGCTGCTGCTGCTCTCTTACCTTTAGCCGAGCCAATCAGATTCTTGGAATACTTGACTTCACCAGGTCCATAGCCGGATGCATCATCTGAAGGAGGAAAACATTCCTACTTGGCACCATTTTTACAATAAATTCACAATATTTCAAAAGTGGAACCATTTCTGTGGGTTTTGGTCAACTGAAGACATACGCGAAATCGACGTATCTATCATTTTGACAAAACAAAATGAACAGAAGTCTATCGAAATAAAATACATCAATACCCAAGTCGTCATCCTGATCTTCTGGTCTTTCAGACGGCTCGGCTATTTCTTCATACTCTTCCACCATGCTTGTCCCAAACACTCTGTAAAAACAAGTTGAGTTTTTTTTTTCGAGGTGTATTATTGGGTCAAGGGCAGCCTTCGTTTACTAATCAGCCAGCAAATTGGACTTGCTCCCGAGTCAACTCGACATGATGGTCAAACAAACTCTCATGGGGAGAATGACAATCACAACTGCTGTTTTTTTTTTAAACTTGAACTCTCTTAGGAGGAAGCGCGTTTGATTTTCAGAAACTCTTTTTGGCATGTGAGGCAAAAGAAGGGATTTCCACTTTAAACCGATCACATAAGCGGACAGACTGACGACTCCCTTCCCAATAACATCAAAGCTTTTCAGCTGTATTGATTCTTGATGGACGTGCTGAAGTCACGGTAGCTTGAATAGCACATACCGAATGAGACTGAGGGGGCAGAAATGTTCGGAGCCAAAGTGAGAGAGCAGCTCAACCTAGAAAAACAGCGGACAAACAATTGAGATGTATGACAAGGGGTGGATGCCACGCGAGATTCATTCATGGCATTTATCTCATCAAAGTTGTTATTTCGTGAACAAAGACCGGGAGCAGTGATTTGAAAAAAAAGATTCTCGTCGTGGGAAAGCAGGATCATTCAACAAGATTAGTTCATTGACATCGTGTGAGTTTCCCAAAGTAGGAAAATTTATTGCAGTGTGGTTAGCAGCATGTACGAGGTGAAACAGATCAGACAAATGGACGAATAGGTTAAAAAGACAAAAAAAAAAAAAAAAATCAAAAAAAAATGCTCTTTTCCATCAGTCCTATTGAATGCACTCAATTCGCAGACATCTACACAAAGCACAGGCTAACCTTTATGTACTTGGCGAACATCTGAAGCGAGAGAAGGAGGGGAGGGGGAGAAGGAGAGGAAAACATTATAAGCCGTATAGGTGCACAGAAAACAATCTCACATGCTTACACCACTGAAATGATACACGGTAATTAGGTTCAAGAATTGTGTCAGTGTATACATTCGGAACACCTGAAAAAAAAAGAAAAACAAGCAGAAGAAGAAATGGGCAGTCCAATGAAAAAAAATAAATTAAAATACTGAGCTTACCTTGACGTATTTAGCATAAAGCTGCTCGTCCAATGGAAAGCTCTGGACAGTGCGTTCGTCCCGGGCATGAAAGGTTCCCAGTTTGAGCCATTTGTTGGTTGGGTACCTGCAAGGGGCAAGAAAGTCGGCCTGCTGTTTGGTCGCTCATCGGCGAAAAGGCATATTCGTGAACCGAGTGTTCAACTTTGTAACGCTTGTCTGGTTCAAAGAGCGTGTCGCACTTCACCTGTCACTGATGGAGACGAGGAAGTCTTTGGGTGTGGAAGAGAAGAGCTCAAAATTGGCGATATCCAACTGTTTCACCTGAATGGGCTCGCAGAGTTCAATGATGAACCTGCGAGAGAAAACCACAAACCGCGACGTTCATCATTCGTTTGTGTCAAGACAACTGCTGCTTCATGCAAAAAAAAAAACATACCAGATTTTGTTACTGCAGGGGTTAAGCATGTACAGGTCCATATTCTCCTTCAATATGGCTGCCGTGCTCTGGAAGCGACAAAATGGGACTGTTGAAATCAAAGCGTTTTTGATCGGTCAATTATGGGGCGAATGAAGTGTCGCATAGCGTACCTTAGCTTCTGGGTTAGCACCGAGGATCTTTGCTCCACACTCCACGGAAGCGTAGTTGTTGAAGTTTTTTTGCACCTTCTTCACGACGTTGGAACCGCCGTTCGTTGAAGTGTGTGTGGACAGAGCTACGGGAAACGTCGGATTACGGTCGTGCTCGTTTCAGCTAAGACTGCTCTTCGAATACCAGCACACTCAAGATGGACTTTTACTTTTTTCATTTTCCACCTCCATCATTTTCCGTTTCCACTCATCAAACGTCGGGATGTCCTCGGGGTCTTTCCCGCTCACACTGGGATCGGCGTCCCCGATGACGGCGGCACTCGCGTCCTACGAGGGAGAAAATGAAAGCCGGCGCTGGCGGTTGGGGAGGCGGCGGCCATTCGGTATCCAATGTTCCTCACTTGCTCGTTGAGAGTGTGTGATAGGTTCCCGTCCAGATGCTGACCAGCCTGGGCACTTGGAGGGTCGCTGTGAGTTTTGGTCCCGGTTGTGTGAACGTTTGACATGTTTTCCAAAACTACTGGAGGATGCCTGCAAGGAACACAAAGGTGTTGTTTTTAATAAGAGTTCAACACTCAAAGCAACATGGATGAGTTTATTCGGAAATAACCGGTCGAATTTAGTCCACTACCTGTCATGGTCGTAGGGGTTTGCCTCTTCCGCACATTCGGCGGGAGCCAAGTCAGAGTCAAGGACCTCGGGATGAGCGTCATCGCTTGTGTCGTCTGAAACACTGAGACGACAACGAGCAACTTATGCCTTCGGAGTTGATCATATTTCTCGGAAAAAGACAGTAGTTGATGTAACATCTTAATGAATAAAGTGTGAAATGAGATATGATTAGGGGAAAGAAAAACTTGCCTGACTGTAACGGTGTCGTGAAGGGTCGGAATACCGAGGCTGTCAGTTTCCTCAGCACTGGATTCGTGGACTATATCGGAAGACATAATGAGGACAACCGAGTCTTTGTCTTGAGCAGTGGATGCGTCAAGGTTTTCCATTTCTGAGCGTTGCTCGTGTTCCGGCTCGGGCTGCGAAACGCTGCTGTTGACCTCCGTCGTTGCATTTATGGTGGGCTCGGAGACCTGGAAGATCAAGGTCAAGGTCAAGGAAATGTTTGACCTGTTGAGTGACACCACCCATCTGTCCATATTACATATTTTGTCCTGAAAAAATAAAAAAATGACTGGTAACTGTATAGCAATGCAATGCAACTTTGGGTGGGAGGTGGTTTACACCGTAAGTCATGAAATAACTACTTGATATGCATCAACAGGCAAGGGTTTGAATACTGAAGTACTTACGTACAATATTTTACTGGCGAAAATAACTACTTGTCATTTAACTCGCCTCTGAATGTGTCTCTTTCTTGTCCGCCGCCTGCGTCGGCTGCTCGTCTTTTTGATCGTCCCCTGGTGACTCCTCATTCCCGGACAAGGACTCGGGGAGCAAAGCCAAGCTCTCATCCTCCTCAAGACATCAGACACGTTTTGATACATGAGAAAATATTTTATATTTTACAAACAGTACTTTTACATTGGAGCTTGAGGAATTTCATTGTTTCAACAGCGACTTGGAAAGTGTCAGGCCAACCTTGTTTTGCTGATGAGAGTCTCTTGACTCCTCCTCTGAACTGATGTCCTGCAAAGGCTCAGAGCGCTGGGCCTCCTGGTCTGGCTCTGTGCAATCAACACGGCAGCTCGGGAACCTGCGGGACAAAGAGGCAACGATCACTGACTGACTACACGTTGCTTATCTCCGAGCGCAAAATCCCAGCTTCGATGGCCCAACTGGAGGAATGAAGAACACAAGACATTTTATGTGTGTGACGCGGTGAGAAAGTCCAGGTGGCTTGTAACGCCACGTGGCTAATTTATCTTATCAGTTTACAAAGTCAAGGAGGGCTGACAAATCAAAAAGAAACATGCAATACGCTCACTCCAACACGTTTGTGTTCTGACAAGAAAATTACTGGAACTCTTAAGGCCAATTCATTATTTTTGCTGGAGGCTGAAAACACACGAGCGATAACATGCAGCTCCCCAAGATACAAGCTCGACAGAGTATGCATTTTATCAACTAGAAAGGAGAATGAAATGAGTGAATCCCCCAAATTATTTTCTCACTGGAAATGCATCTCACAGCACTTCCTGTCGTAGCAATTTAACATGACACACAAGTCTGGATTTTTTTATTTTTTTTAGGTTTTTAGGTCAAACACTTAACTTGGCTACTGGATTGCTTTGTTCAACACGAACCCTAATATAAGAGATTGGACTTCCCTCAAAACAACAGTTTACTTATCAAAAATCACTGGCTCCAAATTCATTATTACTTTTAATTGCCATTATGGTATCGCCTTCTAAATACTAGACATATTAATGAATCGGGTACACAACAAATGTTTAAAGCAGCACACAAATGATTGTATATGGTACATCCTTACACAGGTAGGTGACCCAACAATTATTTTTGACATGTTCAAAAAAATATTCTGCATACTTGTAATAAACATAAATAATCCCGAATGCATGTATTCAGACATTGTATTCATTATGAACGTCCACTTGAAAGGATTGCAACTATCAAATTACTGAATGATAAAGAATTTTGCCAGTTAAGTGTGCAGTGCGTCCCTTCGCTCAGAAAGGCAAGAAGTCAGCCAGTCAAGTTTTCTGTGTATCGTCGGGCAACATCACAAACAGAGCGCATAATCAGTCAGCGTAATCGCTTTCATTCTCTGTGATGCCTTTCGCTCTGCAGCAGATGCATCCAGTTTCCAGGACTACTGACGTGAAAGGTTTTTAATCCCGATGAACCAAATCTGCGCTGCGTTAACGTGAAGTAGGGCGATTACTGCCCTGATTTACGTGAGCCAGTAACAACTGCGCTGGTGTTTTCTTCAAATGCAACTTTATTGTGATGGTTGGGACAGTCAGGACGCTTTGAGCATAGGCAATGTTGGGAAGAGCGAGACCACGTCCCGGGCCGGGTTAGCAAAGCAATCTACGACAAGCGAGCGGTTACAAGTCAGCCAGATGCCACATCACAACATAGCAAGTCGCAACTAGCACAAGCTAACGAAATGCACCGAGTACGTCGTTTGGCCTTAGTCGATTCCACTTCAACAATTGAGTCTTTTTTACGTTAGAGGTTAAACTCTGACCGTGAAATAGAAACTACCGAGCAAAAAAATGTAGAAACTTACCAAAATACGAGTGCCACAGACAGCCACAGAGTCACAGCTCGCCATATTATCATCTTCATCCCTGGCCTGTCGGGAAAGACATTCTCGGCGTGCTGGTATAATACGTTAAATTGGCCCAGCTATATGTCCTCCTTGGTGTCGGGGGGGACACGATGGCCCGTTGGTAAAGCTAAACTTAGCCAACATCGGCGAGTTCCGAATCGCTCACTGCAGCTTGACAGCTAAACAACCTGCTACCAACTGTTATTGCGTCACGCTTTGTCCTGCCAATGGCAACGTCGTACTGGGTTTCTTTCGGGAGCACTCGATTTATTGCTTGGGTTCGTCTGGCAGGCGGTGCTCTTTGCAAAGTGGACGGAGCACAAGAATTGTGACCGTTGGGTAATAGAATTCAACGCAATTGAAATCAACACGTCGAACTGTTTAATCGGAAGCGCCGATCAAAATACTACAAGGAAAAACAGAACTATTTCAGCTTTATAATAAAAAACAATGTATTATTATTAGTAGGAGGAGGAGTATAATTATAATACATATTGTAATACATATTATTATTATTAAATATTATTATTGTGAATTGGGACTGTAGAAAATCAGATGTTCATGCAATAATTCATGTTTTAGTGTGATCTTGCCTTACAGAAGCAGTTGTTCTGTGTGCACTGTTTTGATCAGACGTTTTTTAACATGCACTTTGTTATTGGTGTCACAAGATGGCGTGTGTCGAACAGCGATCAGCAAGAGGAGGAGATTTGTTTTTTTTCCAAGGGAAAAATCAGTCAGGGCAGCAAGAAATTAGAGCACAACATCAAAGTAGAGACTGTGGTATATAACATAAAAAAAACAAAGAACAGCATGTGCATGTGTGTGTATTTTTATTTCTAATCTGATACTGTATCTTCAAATGTTTCCAGATGGGGAAATTACACATCGGTAAGCATTAGACCAATGTTTAAGAAGAACAATTATACTTTTGTTGTGTTTCACCAGCAAACCTGCTGGCCTTTTGGTGAAACCAATGAACACTATTGAGAAGTACGACTTTTTTTTTTAATTGAGGAACAATACAGAGACACAGAAAATAACAATAGATGCAATTTTCCATTATGCTCTCTGACAAACATCTTACCACAAATGGAATCAGTCATTGTTCTTTAGTTTTCTTTTTATACTCTGCAATTCTCTTTATATATTTAGCTTTGGCAATATAGAATTGTAATTCATGCCGCAAAGGCAGTCTAAATTCGATGTTGAGTGAACAGACAGAGAGAACCATTAAAGCGCTAGGATCCATTGTGAGGTCTTAAGAGTCCACAGGTACAGTATTTTCCTTATCAATACTTATATACAGCAGAACCAGAACACAGTTTAGGACCATATACACATGAACAAACTGACAGAGAAGCACTTGAACACTGACAATAGCTGCTTAAGATCGAACACAGATGCTGACTGACTGACATGAGTGTCTGAAAAAAAAAAAGAAAGGATACAGGGGAGTTGAACAAATACGAGTGAGTGCTCGTCTTTCGTGTGCATGAAGTTCGTTGCATGTTTCAAACCTGAGATCAAGACTAAAAGGGAAGATGTAAAAATGATGCCATTTGTTAATCCACAGCTAAACATCTCGGAGGGTTGCAGCCACGACAGCAGTCAGCATCTGAATTTGAGCTTAAGGTGTCAAGGGTCACAACTTTGACCATTGATACAGCACAGGTGGACACCTATGACGAGGTTAAATGTCGTATTGATTCTGTGTCATATAGAGAATACTCATGGTGCTCCTCCGCCTTGTTATGTGTGTACGAATGCTACTACAGCACACAAACATCTCACAAAAGTCCAAGAGTAAATGCACCCCGAGGGTTCATGAGTCATCATAAACATCTTTGAACGTGAAAACAAAATGAACTGAAACGGCAGCAAACGTGCAGACAGACTGCGTATGCATATGTGTCCTCGCAACACACAGTATTACTTGCACACAAACAAACGCGTGTTTACGCGCACATACTAAGATACAACTCTTGTTCCTATAGAGAACAGTAGGCTTATAATTAACACTTATGGGAGGAGTGTACAATAAATAAATACTAAATGAATTCGAGTGTATATCTCGGCAAATTAGCCCCTCCCCCGTACACGCAAAAGACATTCACACACATACACTCCCATGCAATAAAAGCAGCTTATGTGCCATGCTGCATTTTGGAATGAAGACGGCAGCACGTCGGCTGGGCATATTTTCATGTCGAAGCGGCAAGTTCCGGTGGCGGCTGACTTGGCGAAGGGTCGGAGGGGGAAGAGGTTTCGGTGGATGATACTAGGATGTGGTTCTGCTGGAGCATACCTGGACCACAGGCGAGCAACAAGCGCACGAAAACACACACCACAAGACAAGTACAATACTGTACATAGATACATGGAGATGGTCGACTGGCAGGAGATCAGGAGTCACGATTTGCACTAATGAGTGGGCGGGGCAGCAGAGCCATGGCTAAGAGAGAAGGGAGGAAGAAGAAGGGCGACCCCTGTGGATGATTATGGCGGTACTTGTCTTGTTGGCGATGGTGGTGGTCGTCGACTTGAGTGAGCATCGAACGGCGATGTTGAGGAAGGCGACAGAGCGACGCAGGTGGGAGGAAAAAGAAGAAAAAGAAATCAATCAGTCCAAAGACTGGAGCATTAATAGACAATTCATTTCACACCAAAAATGCGGAGGACGAACGGTCATCATGCACGCTATCGGAAATATGTTGAGAGCCAAAGAAAATGCAAGTTATCGTCACACACTGGTCGCAGAAGACACTGCATTAGTCACATGAGCAATGTACAGCAAAGTCTGTTTTATACATTTAACCAGTTGAGGAAAAAAATATTCATTCTGACACGGAAAAATACCTGGATAAAGTAGTTGAAGTCACGTTTATTAGCTTTGAAAAGAGCTCATATTAGCAAGTTACTGCAGGATGTCCTGATGCAAGGCAACCAAGAACGCACGATACCATTCGACCCTCATACGCAGAAACCAACTCACTGCAATGTAAAAAAAGAGCAGAGGTGGCCATTCTGTCAGCACTGACGGAAGGGCCGTTTAATCGGTCAGTATGTCAGGAAATTTTTTTTTTTAAAGGATGGACTAAGTCCTGACGGGGGATGGGTTTTCGTCCGTCAATATCATCATCACTAACAGGGTCATGTTCTGACGGAGCTCTCAGTCCATCACTGATGGACGCCTGTTTTGCTGATGACTCAGAGAAACATGCTCTGCCTGTCTCGTGTGTTTGTTCGTGGGGCTGAATAGAAGCAGGTTTGCTTCCATTGACTGTACATGGAGACGCTTTGTGCTTCCTGTCCAGTAGGTGGCGGTGTGCACAAAAGAGCTGTAAAGCACCAATGAACCAAGAAGAAGAAGACTATGCTGAATGAATAGGAAACAGATCAACGGGAGGGGGACTGTTTTGAAATATAATGGTTAACCAGCATCCTGGAACAATTAAAGTTTCAAGAAAATAATTGCTCTGTGGAATTTGCCTTGTTTTTGAGTTACAGTTGCACTGATGCACAAAATGTTTGTAAGAGTGACTGGAGTGCCCGGTTCTAATAGCACCGGTCAAGATACAGGATGCCAAATAGTGATCAAAACTTTGGGAGGTCTGTCTAATCTGGTTTCGTATCTCTGTGCCGAAATGAGCCAATTATCTGTTAGGCTGACATCATACAGACAAGTATCGGCCACCCTCTCCCCCATCTGACAAAAAAATTAAATTACATTTGGGTTGCAATGTCATTCCATAGATATAAGTTCATCTAAATATTATTCTGACAAAAGAAAATCTTAAATGACAACCACTGTATCACTTTTTCAAAGGGGTTCCTTGCTGATAAATTACGTAAAGACCTCATCGAGTGAAATCCAAATGATCACGTTGAATTCTTTTCATTTCATTCTCACCATTACCTGACTTCTCCTCCGCCTGCGCTTTGCCAAATATGTTTCCTCGTAAAGCGCAAAGCCAAGAGTAAAACAAACATCACACGGATTCTTGTACTCACCTGGGAATGCTTGGGGGGGCTCGATTTGGGCGGCTGGGAGCCTGGGGGCTCTCAGCACTGTTATTGAAGGGCCCCAAGGGACCTGGACGGTTTGGTGGTGGTGGGGCTCCTCGAGGTGCCGGGCGCTGGCCTGCAGACATCCTCCTTGGGGCAGTGGGACTTGGAGGAGGAGACCTACGGGGGTATTTGGAATGTTTGGAAGAAGAAAAAAAAAACCCTGAGTACATGCTTCCTGTTTTTGACTGATTCAATTCCACATCATTGCAAGATGTTTTTGGAAGACGCTGTCCGCAAAGTACCTGCGACCGCCGCTTGATCCCCCGACCCAGGAGTTGTCAACAGGGGGTGGCAGAGGAACGGTGATGGTGGTGGTTGAGATATCCCCAATGATCGCCAAGGCCTCTTTGAGGGCCTGGTGGGTCCTCAGCACCTCATCCCTCCTCTGGGCCTGCTCCTGGGACTCATCCATCAGGGCGTTCTGGTCACCTGCAGAGTACAGCTGGGCCAGCAGCTCGGCATTGATGAACTCCTTGACCTAGTCGTCCAGAGAGGAAGTGTAGAGTGAGCATTCGGGCGCGGAATCAACTGCAAATAAACATAGGGGGGTAGGAAATGAGTAACTTGTTTACATTATTGATCATGAGATGCATGATGGCCTTGGGCATAAGATCTCGAATGCACTTGTTCACAATGGCCATGTAGGAGTCGACCAGGTTACGAATAGTTTCCACTTTCCGCTCCAGCTGAGGGTCCATGGAGAAGTTATCCGAGGTGGTAGTGGACGACTCACTCTCGACCTTTTGAGAATTCCAGAAGAAAAGAAGACATTTAAGTTTACAAGGCCGCATGTGGTCAAAGGAAATGACCGAGGCTATTGATGGAGGAATGACAAAAACACTTCAACGTGATGAAAACGGTATGGAAAAGCACGGAAAAAGTTCGTGCGGATTACACAATGCTTTTTGGACCAGACATAACAATCGCTAGACGTAAGTGTGCTCACCGTGGTGGTCTTCTCAGGGTAGACCCCGGCACGTAACAGAGAAGACTTCCAGCTGTCCACATCATCCTGTGAGTCACAAGCCAGTTCCAGAGTGCGATTGTCCTTGTACACATTCCTGGATGCCACAGCAACAACGTGCATCAAAAATGAGTCATATGTGTCAAAACACACTTGTGTAAATAAGACGAGCGGGTGACTCATAATCCT